TTGTTTCTTTGAGTTCTTTCTTGTTTTTTGATGTGAGCTTCTATTGCTATATATTTTCCTCTTATTACTGCTTTTGCTGCATCCCATACATTTAGGATATTGGTGTCCTCCTTGTCATTCAATTCAAAGAATTTTTTAATTTCTTCTTTGATCTCCTCGATAGTCCAGTGGTCTTCCAGTAGTGTGGTTTTTAATCTCAATGAGGTAGGATAGTTCCTTGCCTTCCTTTTATGGTTTATTTCTAGTTTGATGCCTTCATGGTCAGAAAAGGTTGGTATATGATTTCAATGTGTTTGTATCTGTTGATGTTTGTCTGGCCCCAGTATGTGATTGATCCTGGAGAATGATCCATGTGCGCTTGAGAAAATGTGTACTCCGTTTTTTTTGGATTTAGTGTTCTATAGATATCTGTTAAGCCCAAATGCTCTAGGTCCTTATTTAGAGCTTTAGTTTCTTTACTTATTTTTTGTCTTGTTGATCTATCCATTGTTGATAGTGGTGTGTTGAAGTCTCCACTACGTATGTGTTTCTCTGATGTCTGTTTTCAGAGAGGACAACGTTGTCTGATATATTTTGGTGCTCCCTCGTTTGGTGCGTATATGTTAATGAGTGTTATTTCTTCTTGAAGTATTGTCCCCTTGATCATAACGTAGTGACCATTGGTGTCTCTTTTCATTTTTTTGAGCATGAAGTGTGTTTTATCTAATATAAGTATAGCTGTTCCTGCTTTCTTTTTTGGTCCCTTTGCTTGTAGGATTGTTTTCCATCCTTTAACTTTGAGTCTATTTTTATCTTTTGTAGCTAAATGTGTTTCCTGGAGACAGCAAAAGGTGGTGTTTTGTTTCTTTTATTGAAGAGTTCAGTCCATTTACATTCAGAGTTAATATTGATATGTTAGCTTCTGTATTTGCCATTGTATTTGTCTTTCCTTCGATTTTATTTATTTATTCCTTTAATAACCTTTTTTTTTTGGCCTTCTTTCGTTGTTATTCGTCCCTCTGAGGTTCTGGCTTTAGGACTCCTTGTAGTATTTTTTGTAGTATGGGTTTAGTCTTAATGAAATTCCAGAGTTTCTGTTTTTCTGGGAAGGTCCTTATTCTTTCTTCATAGAGGAAGGAGAGCTTTGCGGGATAGAGTATTCTTGGTTGGCATCTGTTTTCTTGGAGTCTGTTGACTATGTCCCTCCACTCTGTCCTTGCCGTAGTGTTTCTTCAGAGAAGTCTGATCTCAGCCTGATTGGTTTTCCTTTGAATGTTATCTGTTTCTTCCCTCTTGTCAGCTTCATTATTTTTTCCTTGTCCTGGTTTCTTGGGAGCTTACTATTATGTGTCTTGCTGTATTTTTCCTTTCGTCGTGGAAGTTTGGTGTTCTTCTTCCTTCTTGTATATCAATTTTCAGCTCCTTCTTCGCATTTGGGAAGTTCTCTTCAATTATCTCCTGGAATATTTTCTCTGTTCCTACATCTCTCTCCTCTCCTTCTGGAATTCCTATAACTCTTATATTTCCTTTCCTCATGGAGTCAGATAGTTCCCGAAGTCTTTCTTCGTTCTTTTTCCTTCGTACTTCTCTTTCCTTTTCTGTTCTGGTTCTTTTTATTTCTGTGTCTTCAAGTAGTACTTATTCGTTCTTCCATTTCATCTATTCTGCTTTCATTGCTTTTCCCAGAGTTCTTTAGTTCCTCCATTAATTCTTTGATCTCCTGCATTTCTTTTACTTCCCTCTTTAGGGACTCAATTTCATTCTTCTGGCCATTGTTTTCCCTCTTTAGGGATTCAGTTTCCTTCTTCTGATCATTGTTTTCCTTTATGACTTCTGTCACTTATTAATCATGGCAATTTTAAATTCTCTTTCTGGAAGGCTCAGAAGTTCTTCCAAGGTACTGTTGTTGCAATCTGGGGGGTGGTTTTCTTTTTGTGGTGTGCTTCTTTCCTGAGGAGTTGTTAGGTTACGTGTGGTTCTTCTACTCCCTACTGTCTGTTTTCTAATTTTTCGTATGCATTGGGACACTGTGTTGCTCGGACTGGCCGGCATCCTGGGTGAACTTCTCCGCTCCCCTCTGGCTCCTCCAGGAGCCATCTCTGGCTTCTGGGGGAGCTTTCTGCTGGTTTTAGGCAGTCTTTACTGAAGAAATGTCCCTGATCTAAAATGGTGATGTGGGACGCAGTCCCTGTGCATCCGGTCTCAGGCACACTCTTCTGCGCGCCTGGTCTGCCCCGGACGTGGGTGCCTTCTCCCTCTGTGGGCTCAGACTGCTGGTTGAAAGGGGCCTGGCATGGGCTAACTTCCCAGCTGGCCACTGGGTCCTCCAGAACCCTTCTGCCCTTTTCAAGAAGTCTTTTCTTAAGAAATTTCCCTGTTCTATGGGGTGTTAGTGACTTTTTTTTCTGGTCGTTAGGTGGCGCCAGAGATCTCTCCTATAGTCCTTGGGGGGCTGCTTTTCGACGCCCCTCCCCCTGCGTGGGACGGGGAACAGAGCGAGAATGGTAGGGTAAATCTCAACGGCTTTGGGGTGCTGTGTCTGCCTTGTGCCCCACCATCATGGAGAACCCACACCCCGAATTTCGTGCCCCAGGTCTCAGTTCCAAAGCCCTCAGGTCCAGGATGCGGGCTGTTGCCCAATTCAGTGGTGCAGGAATGGCGCCTTTTGCACCCCGCTCCTGTGCCTGGGCACCTGGTTCCTGCTTACTCAGTGAGGGACTTTCACCTCAGTGAGGGCCTCTGCGCGTCTCCCTGCAAGCCTAGGTCGCAGGCGCGGGGACCTTGGCAGCCGAGATCCCGATCCGTGTTTGCTTTTCAAGCGCGCCAAGCGCACCGCTTTTCCATGCATGCTTACCAGCCGGCCCGGGGCTGTGTGCAGGTCTCCTCCAGAGTCTCTGTGTTTTCTAATGGCTCCCGGAGCAGTTTGCTCACAGCTGTGGTGAATCCTGCAGGGTTCTCCACAGCTCCTGTTCACGGGGCGTGGTGGCTGCAATAGTTCCTTTCCACTCACAGTCCCGCTTGCTGCGTAATTTGTTCTTGTTGGTCGTTTTAGTTTGTTTTTTTCCTCCTCTCTGCTGGTCGGAGAGTGCCAACTTTGTGGTCCAGGGAGGAGAGCAGGGTTCTGCGCTTTCCTCCCTTCTAGTCCTCTTTTATGGCAACTTTCTTCTTCGGGCAGTTTGCTGGAGTCCCCTGTTTTTCTTCCGTGTCCCACTTCTCACTGGGACCTGCCGCTTTTCCTCCCTATTAACTTTTTTTTAATGGGAGATGTTACTCGCAGCGTCACCTCGCCGCCATGTTGCTCCTCTCTGCTTTGGCTTTTATTATTTCTTTTCGTCTACTGGTTTTAGGGTTTTTTTGTTCTTCTTTTTCTAGTTCTTTGAGCTTTAAGATTAGGTTGTTTCTTTGAGTTCTTTCTTGTTTCTTAATGTGAGCCTCTATTGCTATATATTTTCCTATTATTACTGCTTTTGCTGCATGCCATACATTTAGGAAATTGGTGTCCTTGTCATTCAACTCAGAGAACTTTTTAATTTCATCTTTGATCTCCTCATTAGTCCAGTTATCTTCTAATAGTGTGGGTTTCAATCTCCATGAGGTAGGAGAGTTCCTTGCTTTCTTTTTATGGTTTATTTCTAGTTTGATTCCTTCATGATCAGAGAAGATGGTTGGTATAATTTCGATCTTGGTGTACCTGTTGATGTTTGTCTTGTGTCCCAGTATTTCATCAATCCTGGAGAAAGATCCGTGTGTGCTTGAGAAGAATGTGTACTCAGATTTTTTTGGGTTTAGTGTTCTGTAGATGTCTGTTAAGCCCAAGCACTCTAGATCCTTATTTAGAGCTTTAGTGTCTTTGCTTATTTTTTATCTCATTGATCTATCCATTGTTGATAGTGGAGTGTTGAAAACCCTTTTCTCTGATGTCAGTTTTCAAAGATGATAATAGTTGTCTGATATATTTTGGTGCTCCTTCGTTTGGTGAATATATGTTAATGAGTGTTATTTCTCCTTGAAGTATTGTCCCCTTGATCATAATGTAGTGACCGTTGGGGTCTCTTTTTACCTTTTTGAGTTTGAAATCTGTTTTATCTGATATTGTATTGCTGTTCCTGCTTTCTTTTTTGGTCCATTGGCTTGTAGGATTGTTTTCCATCCTTTTACTTTCAGTCTATTCTTATCATTTGAAGTTAAATGTGTTTCCTGGAGACAGCAAAAGGTTGGGTTTTGTTTCTTAATCCAGGCTGCAACTCTTTGTCTTTTTATTGAAGAGTTTAGTCCATTTACATTTAAAGTTAATATTGATATGTTAGCATCTGTATTTGCCACTGTGTTTTTCTTTCCTCTGGTTTTATTTATTTATTCTTTTACTAACTTTTTTTGGCATTCTTTTGTTATTAATCCATCTGTTGGTTCTGGCTTTAGGAGTCCTTGTAGTATTTTTTGGAGTGGGGGTTTAGTCATAATGAAATTCCTGAGTTTCTGTTTTTCTGGGAAGGTCCTTATTCTTTCTTCATAGAGGAAGGAAAGCTTTGCAGGATATTCTTGGTTGGCATTTGTTGTCTTGGAGTCTGTTGACTATGTCCCTCCACTCTCTCCTTGCCCGTAGTGTTTCTTCAGAGAAGTCTGATGTCAGTCTGATTGGTTTTCCTTTGAATGTTATCTGTTTCTTCCCTCTCGTCAGCTTCATTATTTTTTCCTTGTCTTGGATTCTTGCATGCTTTTCTATTATGTTTCTTGCTGCATTTTTCCTTTCGTCATGGAAATTTGGTGTTCTTCTTGCTTCTTGTATATCTATTTTCAGCTCCTTCATGTTTGGGAAGTTCTTCAATTATTTCCTTGTATATTTTCTCTGTTCCTATGTCTCTCTCCTCTCCTTCTGGGATTCCTA